GGCTGAGTACCTAAACCCAGATTAATCACAATTTGAGCATTTAAACCTGGATTAATCACAGTCTGAGTGTCTAAACCTGGATTAATCACAGTCAGAGAGTCTAAACCTGGATTAATTACAGTTCGAGTGTCTAAACCTGGGTTAATCACAGCCTGAGTAGTTAAACCTGGAATAAATACAGTCTGAGTACCTAAACCCAGATTAATCACAATCTGAGTGTCTAAACCAGGATCAGTCACAGTCAGAGAGTCTAAACCTGGGTTAATTATAGTCTGAGTGTCTAAACCTGGATTAATACCAGTCTGAGTATCTAAATCTGGATTAACCACAGTCTGAGTGTCTAAACCTGGATCCTGAGGGGGTTAAAATGAGTCTCCTCATCATGCTGGTTCCTCTGATCTTCTCCATTCTCCTCATCTGAACTCTCTGCAGCTCCTCTCTCAGTGATTCATCTCTTACTAGAGGAACAGGAATATTATTACGGTTTGAAAACTGTTATGTCATTTTCCTGTTTTCACATTTCTTGCTCAGCCACTCTGTGGTAATGTGTGTGTGTGGTTTATAATAGTTACTGCAAGAGCATTTTTGTAACCTAACTGTCAATAAACAGCATAAAGGCTAAAGAGCTAGATGAGGTGGTTTGAGCATCTGATCAGGATGTCCCCTGGCCGCCTTCTGGTGGAGGTTTACCAGGCACAGCCTGGTAAGGTTAGGATTATATAAAATAAACTTACTTCTAGTCTTTTAGGTTCACTTTTTCAAAATACTCCACACCCCTCTCATATTTTGATGTGATGTGGGTTTGATCTTGAATGGATATGATTCCTATTTTTACCCATCAATCTACACTTAACCTCCCATAAGTGAAAACATGTTTTTAGAGTTTTACAAAAAAATAATCAAAAATCAAAATCTGAAATATGTTTTTCACAAACATACTCAGACACTTTGCAGTGGCGTTACATATTGTGGTCAAGTGCATCCTGCTTGCTTTCATTACCCTTGCGATGTTTCTGGAACTCAATTGCTGCAATTTGAATTCATTGAAAGGCACAAACCTGGATCTATCAGGGCCTCAAATTTACACTGCATTGCCAGGACAAAAACCAAACCAAGAGCAAAGAATCTGTGGATCTCCAGGATCAAATTGTGGCAAGGCATAGATCAAGGCAAGGATATAAAACATAAACTAACACTTTGAGTGTTTCCCAGAACAACCAAGGCCTCAATAATTCTGAAATGGAAAAAGCTTGGCACAACCTTGACCTATACTAGAATTGGTAATCTGGGCAAGAAGGGCCTTTGTCAGGGAGGTAAGAAAGAACTCCACGGTCACTCTAAATGAGCTCCAAAAGAAAAACTTTTAGTTACATTATAAATTATTATATACATTTATAAGTGCATATGAAACAACGTCTTATGTGACCAACATGGCAGCCCTTTTCTGTGGATTTATTATCTTGTGCAATAATTCCTTTGTCAGGAGTAATACCCACCTTCGCCACCAGAGGTCAGCCTCACCTGAACGCTGACGTACTTCCTAGTTTCACCCCTTTCACCTGCAGCTTATTTACCTTCCTATTTAAGGACCCTCAGTAACACTGGCTCACTGTGAAGTAATGCCTTTCATTTTTCTCACATATCAAGCGTAACAAAGAAGCAACACAACTAAACATGAACACTACAGCACAAAATGCACTGTTGCGGTTGGAAGACCAGTAAAAAGATAGAATGCTTGTATGTTAGACAGAAAGGCAAAGCAAAACCCCCAAATGACAGCAAAATTAATAAAACAAAGTAAAGGACATGCAGGAAGGTTTAGCTGACAAATGAGTGATGGTGCACAGATTCATACCTACATTTACCTATTTGAAATAACAATATGCTATATCATGCACCCTAAGAAAGAAGTGCCTTGAATTGTATATTCATTAAAACAGTGGTTTCCTACCCTGGTCCTGGAGTACACCCAGCCTGATACATTTTAGGGTTCGGCAGAGCATCGTCACAGTGTTCTTACTGCAACTGAGGCAGGAATACAGAATAAGGGCCAGATGTACGTTTGCGCAGGCACAGCACAATGTGCAATGTGCATCTTTTACAGAAAGAAGAGTCAATATTGTTCCAGTCAGCACTGATGGCTTCAAACAGTTGAAAAACATTGCGTTTAATGTGAGACCAAATATTCTCTATGAGGTTTAAATATTTAATATTTTGGGTTTGGCCCATTTTTCTATCACGAGAGTATACATTTATCCTAAAAATAACCATATTGTGTTTGGGTTTTAAATGCAGGAAGAACACTCAGAACCTCCAGAGAAGGCCTAATGATTTCTGTGGGCTAACAACATCTCTATGTTTCTGTAATTTTTAGTTAATTTGTATTCAGTAAAATCACGCTTGTATTTAAACTCTATACATCTTACAATACTAGTTTTGTTTCACTGCTAAGTTTTGGATGGAAACACAAGGGTTAATTTCTTGAAACTTCAAGAAGTTCTAGATATGTGACTGGCTGAATATCAATGGCAGCCTAATCAATGGAAAACAGCAGCAGCAGCTCTATATCGGAGCTCACTACTGAAAGAGTCACTGTAAAACTGCTACAAGCTAAAGTATATGCTGACGTCTGTCACAAGCATCGAGAAAAACATGGAATGTCTTCTAGAAGCTTGAAATGTCTGAGTTTAATCTAGAACTGCCAAAAATGTTCATACCATTAATTCACCATTAATTTAGCACTAACAAAGCCCATAGAGACGACTAACAGAAATTAGCATTATCGTAGAGGCTGTTTTGACTGAGTTTAGACAATTATTACCTTGAATTAAAGGCCTAGCTCTAATAGCCATGGTTCACCACTGTTAATATGATTTCAAGCTTTCCCCAATTTATTCAGCTTAAGTTGAGCTGACCAATTCAACCGTAACTCTATAAATTCAATGTATTGTGTGTAACTGGTTTTATCAAGATAATCTCACATATAAGCACTCTGGCCCAGTCAAACAGTGTCGCTGTGCTTGAGATATATAGTTCTCAAGTGTATTTCCTTGCTGATTTTCATATTTGATGCAAATGATGCTCCTGTTCCTGGTCGAATGATAAAAGGATTTTTGTCACCTCAGCATTTTATCAGATAACATACATCTGAATGAATATGTAATGTTTATTTTATAAATATATATATATATATATATATATATATATATATATATATATATGAAGTTTAATTTAGAATTAATGCAGTCTTTCAGGACTTTTGGGTACAAATTAGACAGCATAATCAAATACAATAACATTATTTTGTGTAATAATTCCTTACAAGTTACAACACTTCTCAAACGTAATATATTAGGCTCACAAAAAGACAAAATTCATCATACCTGCCCTCAACTGCCCAGCTCTCTTATGCTGCAGAGAATTTACAAAGAAATAATAGATTTAATAAAGAAATTAAAGCAACCAGACGACTCACTCTTAATCCTGCTACACTCCTGCAGCACGGACACATGTTCTTTTTAAGTATGCACTTAAAAAAAGATGGTTCTTCAAGGGTTCTTTAGTAAAGAACATGGTTCTATGTAGAACCATGAACACTCAGAGAACCTTTTGTATGAGTAAAGGGTTCTTTGCATCATGAATCATAGAACCATATACAACACATTATACAAAGAACGCTTTCTTTTATTTATGCAAAAGCTTCTCTGGGTGTTCATGGTTCTACACAGAACCATCTTCTTCATTAAAGAACCCTTGAAAAACCATCTTTTTAAAGCACAGCAACTGCAAAAGATTGTAGGTTCAAACAAAAAAGAACAGTAAAGAACACCCACTTCTCACCAAACAGGTGCAAAAGCACAAAAAAAAACCTTTTAAAACCTTGTCTAAAACACCTGCTCTGTACCTTCAATCAAATGCAGAGTCAGATTTAGATCGACTGGCCAGATAATAAATCAAAGGTGGATAATAATGAGCTCAATTTCCATTTCCTTGTGGATTTCCATTTACATGTACTAAGATAAAGTCTGTGCATGTTCCTGAGCACTTAAAATGATAATGCCTACTCTGTGGCATCAATATTGACAGCATCAATTATTATTGTTACACGGGACAATGTAATCCTGTTTCACTCTTTTTTCATCGCTCACACTGTTGTGTTTAGTTATCCTTTATTTAATCATAAAAGAAATGCCATCAATACTTGTTTATTAAACATTTTAGAATCAGCGCATGGCATGTAGCGAACATGCTCATTAGACAAACTCTAAAAAGGACCTGAGTTAACAACTTCTTTATAAACACTGAAGGTCCTACTTAAGCTTGAGTAGACTGATAAATCAATGGGATTATCGGTTATTAATCTCAGTGTTACTGAGCTCTGCTAAAGCCTGAGTAGACTGATAAATCAATGTGATGATCGGTTATTAATCTCAGTGTTACTGAGCTCTGCTAAAGCCTGAGTAGACTGATAAATCAATGTGATGATCAGTCATTAATCTCAGTGTTACTGAGTGATAAGTTAAGTATTTTTTCCAGTTTTTCATGAAAGGCAAGGTACCACATACAGGGGGTCCTGGGGGGTCCAGGACTTTCAGTTAACCCTTTGGACCCCCTGAATGTCTCAACATCAAAATTCCTGAAAAACAACTTATGATTTTTGCTGTCTGTTAGTGAAAAATAAATACTAAAATAAAAATTCAGGGAAAAGTCAGTGTTTAGCCTGAATTCAGCCACAATCAACCAGCTTCTGTCTTTCTGCCAACCAGTATTAGCAATGAACAGGATAAATTAAGCAATAAAAAGAAGTTTTATTGTGCAATGAAACATCATCTGTATTTCATTGTGGTGTGTTTTTGGATTAAACAAATTTAAAAATCTTCATGACTTTAAAGATTCAGAGGGTTAGTGCAAAGGAAAGTTTGGAGCAGGAACATTTTCCTCAAAGCCACACCCACAGATGTATATTAAGCTCACTCTCATCTCTCAGTTTCTCTAATCTACCAACAATGAAGCCGCTGGTCACGCTGATGCTCATCTGCTTGCTTTTGTCTGAAGGTACAGAACGTCATATATTGTGGGTACAGATTTAAATACTATGATAGTCAATTCATTTATCGATTATTGTTACTGGTTTATTGTCACTGATTTTTGAGAATTTCTGTATAATTAGTTTGTTGAGATGTAAGCAAAGTCATTCAGAGTGGTTTGGTGTGAAATGCTCTTTCGTAGAGAAACTTACCAACTCAGAATTGTTCACAGTGGTGTTGATAGGAACTAGACATGTGGAGAGTTTAATGGCTCTAGAAACTCCCTCACGGAGAGTTGTTAAATGAAATGCTTATGAATAGCTGCCTGATTCCTGACACATTATTTTACGATAGTTTTGAGATTAAGTTTTAGCCTAAAGTGTATTTTTGCAGGGCGTTGTATGGCAAAATAGTCCCCAAAGAAAATTTATTCTTTTCAGATTTACCACTATTTTACCATCATCATCATTACATATAATAAATCAGAAGACATGTGTAGGTTCACCAGTGGTTTTGGATAGTAAATAAAATGGCTATATTTGTGTTGTAGACATTGTGATTCCTGGTTTCTGTGAAATCATCAGCCAAAACATACCATTTGGATTTCAATTTTAAGACTGATAAATCTATTTGATCAGTTATTAATCTCAGTGTTACAGAGCTCTGCTAAAGCCTGAGTAGACTGATAAATCAGGACAAATCAGGATAAGCACCTGTATTAATAATTGCGAACCTAAAACTAAATGTTATTTTGGCTATTTTAGTTTTGTTTTATTGTATGTTTTGTTTTTTTTCGTTTCTTTACTTTGCATGTTTACTTGTGAAGCTTTTCAGGCTTCGGCAGCGCTCAAGTGTCACACCTGTGCCAGCTTAGTGTGTACAACTTCGCAGTGTATTTTTGGTGAAGATCACTGCTATACTGTGCCAGGTGAGGCAGAAAGCTCAACCTCTCAATCTCACTGCAATTCACCAGTCTCACAGTTGCAGATCCGTAGGAGCCACCAAGTATGAAAACGTTACTAAGAGCTAAGTGTTCTATAGTTGTATGAAATGTGTCTCTGAAAATACATATTCTGTCACATACAGTCCTATGCAAACATTTGAGCACTTGGTCAAATGACATGTTTTGTTGACTATCTGAGTGAAAATAAGGGGACACATTTAAAGATGTATATTTCTATTGATGAGCTAAATTTTGTATATTGGAAAAAAATAAAACACAAAATATACAATATGCCACAACTTTTGCTTTTATGCTTTATTACTTTTTCCACCATGTTAAATTCAGCAGATAAACAGTACTTGTCTATTAAATTGTGCTTTCTCTAGAGGATATGCTATCACTTGACCAGGGGTGCCCAAACTTATGTGCATGACTGTACATTATAAGTTTTACTGCATTTCTCACACGTAGCAAGGTATGTGCTTTAAGGCTTTAAGTACTGAAACAGTTTGTAGTGCTTATCATTAATCTGAAACCTACTGTACTATGAAATAAAGCGCTACCCAAACATCATATGCAAAAAGTCAAGTGATGTGAGTTCAAGAGAAATTTTTAACTTGAAATAATACTAACTACAATTACAATTCCCAGACAAACACTGATGATAAAAAAGGGTTGTTTCCTCATTTACCCCCATTTGGTAGAGATAATTGTCTATAAAACTCTTCATGTGTGACTGTTGCTCCTAACAGCAACACTTCTAACAGTAACAGGGAATCGTTCAAGTAAGGAGAGTCATTATTTTGATGAGATTCCTAAGAATTTCTTGCTAATTGAAGTGAATTGAATATCTGTTGATGTGAATTGAACATCCATTGAAGTGAATTGAACACATATTAAAGCTGACTGAACACTGAAGTGAATTAAATATCTATTGCAGTGAATGGAACATATATTAAGGTGAATTGAATATCTATTGAAGTGAATTGAACATCTGCTAAAGTGAAACTGAATATCTATTGAAATGGATTGAATGTCTATTGAAGTGGATCCAACATCTACTGAAATGATGTAAATATCTATTGAAGTCAATTGAACCTCTATTAAAGTGGTATGAATAGCTATTGAAGTGACCTGAATATGTATTAAAGTGGTATGAATATCAATTGAAGTGAACTGAATGTCCTCCTCTACCCTCTCTTTTTGTCTCAGCTTCAGTACTTGGCTTTACGCTGAGTGGGAAAGGATGTGCAACCAAGAACCTGTGTGAAGGGGCAGAAGTCACTGGGATGCTAACCTGCTGTGACACTGATCTGTGTAACAGTGCTGAACAGGTTAAGCTGAGTCTCCTCATCATGCTGGTTCCTCTGATCTCCTCCATCCTCCTCATCTGAACTCTCTGCTGCTCCTCTCAGTGATGTATCTCTTAGTGGAGGAACAGAAATATTACAGGAATACTGTTTGGAACAATTATGTAATTTTCCTGTTTTTCTTGCTCTGTCAATATGTGTGATGAATGATGGTTAGATTGTAACAGCATTTTCTTTATCAATAAACAGTGGTAAGAGGGGTGTAGTGTAGTTTTATATTGTATTAGAACCAAAGAAATGAAGAGACATCACTCTAAGTTCATCATAAAGCTTCATTAATGCACTCAACTCTCTCTTCTTTCACTTATTAATTTAATGACAAATGAAAGTCAGCGAGGCCTGGTACTAATTCTGGTGCAGAACTTTTATTTGGCAGTTGGGCTGAAGAAATGAGACTTCACTCCGTAGCTCAGTAAGCAGCCTGACATTCTATTTCTATAATCTTCTATTACTATTTCAATGATAAAATCTTAAATAACTTATTTTATGACTAATGGCATCTTAATTATCTTAACCGATAAACATCCCAGTTTAGTACTTACTAAGGCTTATTATTCAGTAACATCAGGGACTTCAGTGCAAACTGGCTGAACTATTATTAGGCTACAGAAGTGTAAAACTTTGGGCCTGCCGGTGGACCCTGGCCATTTAAGGGGTTAAATGAGATAAATAATAAATAATAACAATTCTGACGCTACCTTTATTTCTGGTGTGTATGGTATGTAAGAACTTACTATTAAAATGGTTGTGTCCCAGGAGATTACTAAAGTGTTGCTAAGCCATCGCTTTGGTGATGATATGCCATTGCTGTGGTATTTAAGATGGTTGCTTAAGTTTTGCTAGGCTGTTGCTATGCTGTCCCATGTATTTGCTAAGGTTTTGCTATGCCATTGTTATGATATCCCAGGTGGTAGCTAGGTGATGCTCTAGTGTCCATTGTGGTTGCTGTGGTATTTGTAGTGGTTGCTAATATGAGTCAATATACAGTGTAGTGAAAAACATATTAGCCCCCTCTCCCATTTTCTTCTATTTTTGCATTTATCTCACTTGAATGTTTCAGATCATCAAACTAGTTTTAATATGAAACAAAGATAACTCAAGTAAACACAAAAAGCCAAATTCAAGCAAATTCAATTGACTTCTAGGTTCAGTTTCACTGGCCACATCCAGACATGATTACTACCAGACGTGTTGAATCTAAACATCATTTAAATATAACCTGTCTGGCGATGTGAAACAGGCTAGAAGGTCTCAAAAAGTAGCACATGATGCCACAGTTTAAAGAGATTCCAATAAAGATGCAAAACAAAGTCAATGAAATCTACCAGTCTGGAAAGTGTTACAAAGCCATTGCTAAGGCTCTAGGACTCCAGCGAACCACAGTCAGAGCCATTAACCACAAATGCAGAAAATTTGGAACAGTGGTGAACTTTTCCAGGAGTGGCCAGCCTACCAAAATGTCACCAAGAGCTCATCACTGACTCATCCACGTGGTCACAAAAGAACCCAGATGAACACCTAAAGACCTAAAGGCCTCACTTGCCTCAGTTAAGGTCAATGTACACGATTCCACAGTAAGAAAAATACTGGGCAGAGATAGGCCTTCAATATGAGCTATAAATGTCAAAACTCAGCCAAAACATAAGAATAAAATACCGCTGCTACAATGCTAATTCCTGCTAGCACCTCTATGGAATTTTAGTAGTTTGTTAGCACTAAGCTAATGAAAATTATTTTTTTGTCCCAGTTCTAGATAATATGCAGGTATTGATAACATTCCATGTTTTACTTGAAGCTTCTGACAGACATATTAGCATACCATCTTTAGAAGTATATCAATCAGCCTTTGACAAGGCTCAAGTGTACTAACATGAAGTGATAGGATGGAGTGAGCCTCCTTAGTGCAGGAAGTTTGTGTGGGATGTTTCTTGCATTGCTGCCCCCTTGTACAAGTTGCTCCACACCAGGCAGGACTTCAGCTGGTCAGAGGATTGTCATTCAGCTTTTGAGGTCCTGATGCAAGCTCTAACAAGTGCACCTATCCTGGTATCCCTGGACCCAAACCTGCCCTTCTTCCTAGACCTGGGCACCAAGGTGAAGGGGTAAGTGCAGGGCTTTCACAGAAGTGGCCTGAAGAAGACTTTTATCCTATGCTCCGGTCTTGCCTCCCGGCAGTGGCTGATGACCTTCAGAGAGCCTGAGGTGGTGGTCACCATACAAAACTGTGCTGTATATATAATGTGTACACACACACATACGCACACATTTTCAAAGCTGCTTATCCTTCCGGGTTGCGGGATGGAGCCCATCCCAGCAATCACTAGGTAGAAGGCCACGTACACATATATATATATATATATATATATATATATATATATATATATATATATATATATATATACATATATATATATATAATGCATGTATATATATTTTTTCATGACCTGCATAGTGTACTATGTAGGGAGTAGGGACCCTTTCAGATTCAGCATCATGTCAGAAAACATTGAAGGTATATTAACTTGAAATCAGAGCTGGAAAATGCAGCCGTCATTACAAATGATCCCTTTTGGAATAAGTGTCAGTACAACCCAATGTCAGAAGATTTCACTTATTAAAGGGGAATGCCACCAATTTTTCATTTGTAAGGCAAAATAGTGACTGGTGGTTTTCAACAGTAAATAAAACAGCTGTCAGCAAACTTTGTGGACAAACAGTGCTGTCTAGTGGACAAAAAAATAATGATTTATAGATTTCTTATCTTGAGAACATGGAATGGGTTTGAAGTTCTCTCTTTCCTTCACACACACACACACGCGCACACACACACTCACAGAGGGAAGAAATACTCTTCTCTTGATCTCAGGTACTTCTCATAGACATGGTTAAGTCCAGTTTGAAATCAGAGTGAGACTTAAGCCATTTCTCCTGTTGCTGATTTGGCTCATGAGAAATATCCCTCAGATTATCTCACTTTGATCAAAATGCTGTCACACATGTGGCTTAACTCTTTTGTGTCTAACTCATCACCCCAGTATTAGCTGAATAATATTTCCATTAGAAAAGTGTCAGATCTCAGTGTTTTCTTTTAACACCTCTATTCTATATTACAGAGCTCTTTCAGTAGTCTGTGAGTGTAGAAGGAGAAAAGGAGAACTCATGCTGTAATGGTGTAATGACTCATGATGAAAAATAGCAAAGAACTTGGGTGTTACATCATCTACTGTACATCATATAATTAAAATATTCAGAGAATCTGGAGAAATCTTTCCAACTTTACCATTGATAGAGAAGATGTGGAGATGGTGGACAGCTTTTGCTAACTTGTATATAGTAATAACAATAAGGTTCCAACACTAAAGACATATGACACAGATTAGCAGAATGAGGATGAAGAAGCTTGATTTGTCTCTACACACAAAGATCAGAATTGTCCAGGCTCTAGTCTTTTCTGTGAAATGTAAAAGCTGGACAATAAATAACCAAGATGGAAAAAATATTAATGCCTTTGAACTAATTCCTGTCTGACAGCTGTAGGAGATGCTCAAGCCAAAGTAAAAGTCGTTGCTTAGCAACGGCGGCTCAGCGGAGTGATACAGTGTTCGTAAAAAAATGTGCTGTTATGGTGAAATAGCTTATGTGGCCGGAACTAACTGTTGTATAAATATATATGGCACCCTGCAATGGACTGATGACCGGTCCAGGCCCTCCGTCCAATGAATGCTTGAATAGGCTTCAGCACCCCACGCGACCCAGGAGAAGCGGCTTAGAAATTGAATGAATGAATGAATGAAAATGGTCAAAACATGTTTTTGTTCATTTATTTTTTTATTTTTTATATTTTTTGTTTTAACAAAGATTACATATATAACTAAATATACATGAACTGAATGATGGGTACTGACTTCTGTGTTTTGCATTGTATTGCATTAACCATGTACGTATGTAGTGAGACACTCAAACAAAATGTATTTCACATGAACTCTTTGTTTGCTGTCATCCATCTACTATCACAACGCAGCATAACACCTCTGCTAATCTAACACATCTATCTTTGCATGACTTCTAACATTAATCATAGTTTAACTTGTGCATTTTGACCTCTGTTTGATCTGAATGTTTCTATTTAATGTTCTTTCTTAATTCTTATTACTTTAATTAGGATCCTTACAACGCATGTGTTTATCATAATTACAGCTACGCTGTGCAGCCCACAGGAAGGTGGGTGCTCCGTTTGACATAAACCCCTGCTGGAAAAATCCAGGGAACATCTGCTTCTATTTTGCAAGACAGTTTTCCAGCATTGTTAGCTACAGTGATCTAACATCACGTACAATCTATAAAAGTGGTCCATTTGAAAGCATTGCATTGTCAGGCTAAGTGATCTCAATAATCAGTATGAACAACTATAACTGATTTTAGCTACACATCTACTGGAGTTAGCTAGTTGGCACACAAGCATCATTAGCATAGCATACATGTATCTAACATTTACGTGTAATCTATATAAAAAACATTTTTATTTACCTAGTGTTTAATATTCACTCCTGTTTGATTTTGTTGTTGTCTTTAAGCTCCATGTAAACACAGCTTTAGGTTTTGTCCTAGAACAGTCAAATACAGCCGAAGAACACAAACGCACACACACACACACTAAACATTACCTCATTCTTAGGAACACTCTACATTAAACATCTACATAAATATCTCAAGTTACATCTTTTAACCACAACTGGAGCTTTAAATGTAACAGGATGGCAACAGATGCTAAGCAGTGACTGGAGGGGTGAGAATATAAGGAATAGAATAAGAATAAGAATAATGACTTGTTTGGCCAAAATACAATACAATGACAGCACTCACAGAAAAGAAATCAAATTTAATACAGTCAGTTTCTGTTGATTTTGTGTAAATATGTTAATTCATCCTCTACATCCTCTGCACATTTTAAAGCATGATTATTGGTCTTTTACTGAACTTAACATATTGGAACAAATTTACACAAAATTTACAAACACCCTGCACAAAAGTTATGGCACATTTTAGATTTTATATTTTGTTTTTTTTTTTCCATTATGTTTAGCAAATGAATAGAAATAAATAGAAATTTGCATTTGCAGAAAATATTTATTTTATTTATTATTGTAATTTTTTAAAAATATGGAAAAAGTTTAACCAATTTAGGCTAAATTTGAATACCAAATATTTATCAGATTGAACGCAATATTCCAATTGTCACAACTTTTTTTTTTTTCAGCTTGCATAACACAACAGAATGTTCAGTGCACCACAGTTTCCATTTAAATAAACGTTTTGCTATGTTTTGTGG